ATGGATACCAAATTGCATTGTTCTCTAATTTTGGTGCAAAACTAATACAGTGACTGGTTTATTTAACCATCATAGAGAGCACTGTTCCATACTGCTGCATTTAATTTGCTTAACAAAATGAGTAGCTAGTGGGTTTAGATTTTTGAAAACCATGCAAATAAAATCTTTTTATATACAGGAGAGTAATGAATAGAAAACGCTGCACGATGTACATTTCAAACGTCTGTAATCTGTGTCCATTGTTTTTAAAGAAGTGTCCTTGAAATCATTGTTTCTTATAAGGACTATTAAGTTTTAATTCTATGCACAAATAAATAAATTTGGTAATGAATTTGTTTTCACTCATTAGAAGCAGCGTTCGGAAGCAATAGGAATTAAAATTGTGTAACCACTTGTAATGCCAGGACAAGAGGCCAGAAGAGATGTGTGCCTTTGGCCTTTTGTCAATTAACTGTATATTTAGCTACTTCAGCTGTAAAAATAGAAAATGCTAGGAAAGACTTGGCCACCATTTGTGGAGCGATTGTTTGTGTCAATAGTAACTTAAATGTTAACTCAATTTTTCTCTCCACAGGTGCTGCCTGACCTAAAGAGTGTTTTCTAATATCTTCTGTTTTTACTCAAGGTTTCCAACCTTTCTGGCATTTTGTTTTTACTAATAATAGTGACTTATTTAAGATGTTATCTTAAATAAAACTGTGGATACATTCCCAGAGAGTTAACATTGGAAAAAATAATTCTAAACAGGAAGAATTGCTCCCAAGCACTCCACAGCCAACAAAAAGAAAAAGTTAGAATTATATATTGCTTTTGAGGATCATTAGACATCTCCAAGTGCTTTGTATGAAATATGCCAGCATATGCACAATAAGCAGATAATCAGATAATCTGTTTTGTGATGTTGCTTAAGGAATAAATATTGGGCAGGACATCAGAGCTATTTCCTAGGATGTTGGCAGAAGATAGATGGGACCTTGGTTTAACATCTCACCTGAAAGACAGCACCTCCTTCCATGGAGGCCCCCTTGTACTGTGTCAGCTTGACTTTTGTATTTGAGCCCTCAAATGGAACTTGAGCATTGAACGTTGTGACTCAATGACTAGTGCTACCAACCAAGGTACAGCTGGTGCACCTGAAAATAAATCATTACAATTCATTGTATTCATTTTTCTAAGTAGGCAAATATAGCAACCATTTTATGCAGAAGATCCGTGGATAACAAAAGAAATGTGACAGTTCATTAACTTTTGATTCTATTGGTTGAGAGAGAAATGTTTACCAGATCACAGATCTCCCCTGCTACATTTGGTGACATTGAATCTTTTCTGAGCACCTGACCAAGGGGACACAGTTTCATTATTCTTAAGGGTGAAACATAATCTTGGCTTGTACTTCAGTGTAATACTATGTCCCTGAGTCCAAAAAAGTACCAAAAGGTGTTTGCATACACAGATGAAGGGAAATGCAGGAAATATCGTTTCAAGTCCTTAATCCTAGTTAATATGATGAACACACTATAAATTATTTCTCCTCACAGAAAGCTACTCAAGCCCATACATTTTATAATTCACATCTGCACTTTAATTTCATATATCTGACTACTTTTGGGAGAACATAATGTAAGAAGTCTTTGTTCTTGTCCTGCTGTTCAACTATTCTGTCCAACAGTGCATGGATACTAACTACTTCCAGAGGACCAAACTTGGTGCACGTTAAGTTCACCTCGCTCAAGCATGCAGCAATTAAAATCTGATAGCATTTTCAGACTTCACTTGCTGATGGAACTTATCTGTGGGTTATTGTTAATATTGTCGTTTTGCTGGATTGTGTTGAGTGTATCAGATCTGTGTTGGACAGGGAGTCCTCATGTAATGTAAAATCAGGGCAACTAGGGAAGGGTAATAAATGCTGGCCCAATCCATCGATGCCCATGTCCCACAAGTGAATTAAAACAAAAACTTTTCAAAGACAAGAGAAATTTGGTAAATAATGGCCTTGAATTCAATTGGGTATATATTCCACAGAAATTGGTAATATTGCCAAGAATTATGAAGATTTTTTGGGGGCAGGGATGTGGTGGTGGGAAGAGTGAGAAACACCTGTATACATGTCTCAATCACCCTGTCTGGAACTGCTGGCTAACAGTCAGAAAACAGACATTTTCTGAAGAATTTCCCTTGCCGTATGAAGTTAATCAACTTCCAGTTGCTGACATTGTGAAAAGGAAGATAGACCTATAAATCACAGCTGAACTTGGAACAATGTTGGATGACAATGGTTTTTATAATTTCATAGAGGAGATTAATTACTTTTAATTTTAATGTATTCCCCTGAGTCCTGCCCTGTTCTCAGAATGCATTGCAAAGTCCAACTTGCTGTATTGTGACTTTTCGAAATCTACAGTATAAGTATAATGCACGCTGAGTTTCTCTACAATGCTGATTGGTAATCTTAACCTGAATCATTAGCTGTTTCTCTCCACAGACGATGCCTAACCTGCTGCACATTACCATCAATTTTTTTTATTTCAGATTTTTAGCACCCATAGTGCTTGTTTTTATGTTGGGCGTATTTTTTTTTCATTGGCTTTGTATTTGTGTTTATAATGAACCTGAAACTCTTATGTGTTCCTATTGGAAGTTGAACTATATTGGCAATATAACTGGTCATATCTTTTCAACAATTCATTTTCTTTATTTTGAAAAAAACTTTTCTTTTTGCAGATGACTGTATAAAACTTTTCAAATCATCTGTCAATTCTTAAATTCCTATTAAGACAAAAGAACCATAGTGATTTTTGCTTGCTTCTCATGATTGTTATGCCTGAATTCAAATCAAAATTTAGGTGGTTTCAATCTGCTTCCTCATAGCTGGTCAGCTGTGGTGTGTGTTTTTTGAAAAGCATTCAATTTCAAAATGGTCACTGTAAAGCTCTTGTGGCTTAATACTTTTTTAATTTAATGTGGTGAAATGTTTGGCTTGGCTTCCCACACTGTGGGTTGTAACCCCCTGTGGTGTTGCCAGCCGAAAGTTTTTGGGTGCAAATGCTCTTGAAGCAGCACTGGATGCTATGGAGCTTTTTTCTTCCTGATGGGGTGCTTGGCCTAACTACCTGATTTGTCTTGGAGAACTCTGTAGAAAAGTAATTGCTTTTAGATTTAAAAACTGTGTGGAATAAACAAAATTTGTCATCCCACTCCCGACAAGCCCTACATTGACACACCTTTCAGTTTCCTCCCAGTGGCCCACCAGTGCTGTCACAGGTCTCTACCCAACCTGGTCTCGTCTCCCGTCTCCCATCCCCTTCACCCTTTTCCTGATCTCTCAAGTCTCGTCTGTTACCTGTACCCACTCTCGAAGGACTGGGATCATGGCAAATTTTCAGCTCCAAAATGGGGTTTGTGTGAATAAATTTGGAAAGCACTAGTTTATTAGTTTATTTTCTTAAATTTCAAAATAAAAACAACATTCATAGCTTTGTGATCGATCGTGTTACCATCCTTAGCAAAGGTTGTAATTTTTTTCATTTAAAACACGCTCAAATTATTAAAAATTTTGTTTGATGTGTTCCCCATTCCTACAATGTGACATTTGCAAACTGGAAAGTTAGCAACTGTTCCGATAGAATGATGAATACTTTAATAATGTGAATAATTATTTGCAAATTGACCTATTGTGTGCGTGTCAATTTGTAGGAAAAATTGTTCCTATATTCTGCTAAATAATTAGCGAGTACTTCAGACAAGATGTTGGGGTTGGTGGGTAGAGGAGAGTGAAGAATGAGTTCATACAATGTGTAGAGTGGGAAGAGTTGACACATTAAGGAACTTGATGAATTATTCATTTCAGCTGAAAAGTTGTGATCAATCCTCAGGCAATTACGGATCACGATCCCTACACTTGCAGATACATTTCGCTGCACAATATAGTTGTCATCTTTTACTGATTTGTTACAGAAGATGCTTCAGTTATGAAACAGTAGTCAGTAAGGTGCACATAGCTGTTTTGATTGCATGTGGATGGCTTTTTTCTTTTAAAAGAAACATTACAGATGTTTGAAATGTTAACATTGATCTTTCTTGAATTCAAAGGGGAGAAGAAACAGACAACTGGAGGTGGCGATGATTCCAAACCAATTGACATTTCTCGTTTAGACCTACGTATTGGACGTATCATCACTGCCAAAAAGCACCCTGATGCTGACTCCCTCTATGTGGAAGAGGTTGATATTGGAGAAGAAAACCCAAGAACTGTTGTCAGTGGACTGGTGAACCACATGCCAATAGAGGAGGTAAATCTGATTCAAAACACTCCATTACTAGAAATAAATTGTATGAAGGTTATCTTGCATTCATTCCTGTAGCTCAACTTTTTCTACATTAGTGCGGCAGTGACCATTGTGGTTAAGCTGGGTATAAAGTTCTGTAAAAGTCTAATATTTAATAAATCATGCCCATGCTTTGTTATTTTGCCAGGCAGCAGGTGGGCTTAGGTAGTTGAACAAATGCAATTAAATGGATGTGAACTTGAATTTTCAGCTTCAAGTTTGGACATGTGTAAAGTTGGGCGTGGGTGGGTTTTGCACAATAAAATATTTTAATCCCCACTGTTGCTTTCCTCCTTCATTTCTGTGGGTCAATTAAAGTGCCTTCCTAGTCTTTCAACATTACAGTCTCACTTCAGTTCATTCCTTTTCTTATTGGCACGGTGCAACATTTTAAATGAAATGCACACAGTTTTATACGTCACTTCACAAACCATCGTTAGCCAAGTTTAATACAACTTGCCTGTCTATGAATACAAACTTGTACGCATTTGGTTATTTGAGAAAATGAACCAATCTTGGATTCTACTCACCTGTTTAATGCAGGAGGTACTCGATCTGGAGTCAGTAACTATGGTCATTCTCTTTAAAATTTTGGGTCAGACTGTATCTTGAGAAAGGAAGGAATTTTCCAGTAATTGTTTTATCCTGCTCAACTAAGTCCTCAAATTATTCTCTGAATTATAAAGCAGACTTTTATGTGCAGAACAAAATCTAGTGCACAACAGGAAACTGAAATTGACTAATCATCAGTTATGCAAATTTGTGCTTTAATCTTTCTTCTGTAAGACCTTTTGACTCTGCTGGCACTACTCTTGTTATATTTTATTGTGCTTGAAATTGCTAGTGTGTGCAGTGCAATGTATGTTGCAGATAGATCTTCAACATGGAGAAATTGTTTTCCAGTACTTACCAGTTTGTTCCACTTTATTTTACATGTTTAACATTGTCTGCAGATGTGCTGTTGTAAGAAATGAAATCCAAAACATGTGCTCAGCAAATTTGTGCTGGATATGTTTGTCTTTGAAAAATATGTAATTCTGATAATAGCGCACTCTGAAATCTTCTCTTTATTGTATCATGATAATTGACCATTTTAATTTAGTTAATTAAAACGGGGAATTATGTTTTCAGGATCTATTTTGTGTGCAGTAGGTTTCTTGGATTTCTTCATTTTGTCAAAAAAGACTCAGTAGCCTGAAAACAGTTCAGAGGCTTCTAAACTACAAACTGTCAATCATTTCTGATTAGTGGCGCAATAATGAGGTATATCCTCTATCCTAACATTGAGCTAGTGCTTACATATTTTCCATCCATAAGTCTCCTAAAAGTGAGATAACAAGGTGTAGAGCTGGATGAACACAGCAGGCCAAGCAGCATCAGAGGAGCAGGAAGGCTGACGTTTTGGGCCTAGACCCTTCTTCAGAAATGGGGGAGGGGAAGGGGGTTCTGAAATAAATAGGGAGAGAGGGGGAGGCAGATAGAAGATGGATAGAGGAGAAGATGGGTGGACAGGAGACAGACAGGTCAAAGAGGCGGGGATGGAGCCAGTAAAGGTGAGTGTAGGTAGGGAGGAGATAGGTCAGTTCAGGGAGGATGGACAGGTCAAGGGGGCGGGATGAGGTTAGTAGGTAGGAGATGGTGGTGGGGCTTGAAGTGGGAGGAGGGGATAGGTGGGAGGAAGGAAAGGTTAGGGAGGCTGGGCTGGTTTTGGGATGCGGTAGGGGGAGGGGAGGTTTTGAAGCTTGTGAAGTCCACATTGATACCATTGGGAACGCTGCAGCCCAAGCGGAATATGAGTTGCTGTTCCTGCAACCTTCGGGTGGCATCGTTGTGGCACTGCAGGAGGCCCAGGATGGACATGTCGTCTGAGGAATGGGAGGGGGAGTTGAAATGGTTTGCGACTGGGAGGTGCAGTTGTTTAGTGCGAACCAAGCGTAGGTGTTCTGCAAAGCGGTCCCCAAGCCTCCACTTGGTTTCCCCGATGTAGAGGAGGCCGCAGCGGATGCAGTATACCACATTAGCAGATGTGCAGGTGAACATCTGCTTGATGTGGAAAGTCTTCTTGGGGCCTGGGATGGGGGTGAGGGGGCAGGTGTAGCACTTCCTGCGGTTGCAGGGAAAAGTGCCGGGTGTGGTGGGGCTGGAGGGGATGTGGAGCGGACAAGGCAGTCACGGAGAGAATGGTCCCTCTGGAAAGCGGATAAGGGTGGGGAGGGAAAAATGTCTTTGGTGGTGGGGTCGGATTGCAGATGGCGGAAGTGTCGGAGGATGATGCGTTGGATCCAGAGGCTGGTGGGGTGGTACGTGAGGACGAGGGGGATTCTGTTTTGGTTGTTATTGCGGGGAGGAGGTGTGAGGGATGAGTTGCGGGAGACATGGTCGAGGGCGTTCTCGACCACTGAATGGGGATGTTGCGGTCCTTGAAAAACGAGGACATCTGAGATGTACGGATGTGGAATGCCTCATCCTGGGAGCAGATGCAGCGGAGGCGAAGGAGTTGGGAATAGGGGATGGCATTTTTGCAGGAAGGTGGGTGGGAGGAGGTGTATTCTAGGTAGCTGTGGGAGTCAGTGGGCTTGAAATGGATATCGGTTTCTAGGTGGTTGCCAGAGATGGAGACAGAGAGGTCCAGCAAGGAGAGAGAGGTATTAGAGATGGTCCAGGTGAACTTAAGGTTGGGATGGAAGGTGTTGTCTCCTGAAAGTGCCACCTTTATCACCCAGAAATGAGCTGTTTGTTAGAAACAAATGTATATCAAATTGAGAGAATCTGTCAGTTATTTTTCTTCTGGATATCTCTGCAGAAGTGTTGACAGATCCTTTGTAAAGCTGTTGCATGTTTAACTGTCTATGATATGTATTTGTTGTGGTCAAGCATCAATGGTGATCTTTGCTTCACTGACATGATATAGCCAACAGCCTTGCACTTACCAGCACTGCCTTTTACTAGTGGCAAATGCCACACAATGCACCACAAATCAGCTCATCCATTGAAAAACTCTCACTTTGCTGTGTTCTGCACTAATAATCATCTGTCTGTTATATAGGCAAACCATGCCTAGCTATTTTATCACGCACAAGGAATATATTGAATTATCTTGCTTCAAGCAGCTTTTCTGAACCTGCAAGTGTATCTGTGGAAGGAAATTATTTAGCTTTTGACTCTGCAGCAAGATTGATTATGCTCTTTGCCTCCCCAAGTATGGTTTCTCAATTCAGTTAGACATATTTTCTAATCCGCTTGTTCAGAGATATCATTACACACCACTGGAGAGATGGGACTTGAAACCAGACATCCTAGTTCAGAGATAGAGACGACACTACTGCACCACAAGACCCGTCTCTCAATTTAGTTTGATATGCTGAGTCTCTGTCAGTTTCACTTGACCCAACCAGTACAGGAAAGCCAAGTGATTGTCTAAATTTGGTTCACTGTATCTATGCCTGTGGTTTTGTGTTTTGCAATATTGCAGTAGATTTCCTTTGCGGCTTTTTGATGTGGGTTAAGTTGCTGAATGCCACCAGTATTCATGGCATCTAGTTGCGCTGATCCTGTATTGGCTTAACTCTATTTCTTGATCTCACTCAGGGCCCTAACAACTGCACAAGTTGCCAACAAATTACTTGTTCAATCGTTTCAGCACTCAGCCCTGTTATACAGGGGACATCCGACCTATGAATGCTTGTACTTAGGAATGCAATGTCATACAGGGGTCTATATTTAAAGACCCGAAGCACAAACATTTCCTGTACTTATGAACAGCTGCTTTACATTGTCCTGCATTGTATTCTGACTTGTTTATAAATTGCCTTGTGAACGGACTCCAGAACAGAATAAGTTCACAACCTGGGGACTGCCTGCAATTCTCTAGATTCCTCCTTTCTTGCAACCCAAACTTATCAACTAGGCATACAGATGGGCACGTTACCCCTCTTATCCCCAGAATGTCATATCTAAAGTGAGGGTAGCAGGCCATTCAGCCCATCATATGTTCTGCCAGTAAACGAGATTATGGTAGAGCTATATCTAAATCCATTCATCTGCTTTAATCATTTTATGCCTTTATCTAATGTTATCAATCTCGGAGTTAATATTATTAATTAAGCAAGCATCAGCAACTTGTGATAGAGAGTTCCACACTACCAGCATATTTTGCTTGAATAAATGTTTCTTAACCTTTCTTCTGACTCTTAGCCCTAATTGTAAGGTTAAGTCCACTTGTCCTAATTTTCCTCCTTCCACTAACAGAACTAGTTTCTTTATCTCACCCATTTTTTTTTCCTTTGAAATCAAATCACCCTTATGCTTCCACGTTCAGGCAAATAATAAATCTGTTTTTTGTAATTCGCCCCTCAGAATCTAACCATTGAAGTTCTTGTAACATTGAGGTGAATTCTTGTTACCTCTGGTTACAACAGCTTGTGTTTATGTAGTACCTTTTAACTACAGCCACAAGAGCACCTTCAAACAAACTTTGGCACAGTAACACATGAACAAATAGGACAGTTGGCCAAAAGTTTGGACATAGATGTAGGATTTATGGGAGGAGAGAGGCGAAGCAGGTTTGGAAGTAAATTCTAGTGCTTAGGGCCTCACCAGCTGACAACACTGCTGCTAATGGATTGATTTAAAAATAGGGGATGTATTCTTTCCAAGGCCACCGTATACTCTCTTTAAGATACAGTGCTCAGGATTGTTGACAAATCACCAAATATGGATATCTGGGGCTTTATTTAACTATAACAAAACCTCCTGTATGCACTTTCACTCTAATGGGATGTTTATCTTTACAATTAGTCAAATGTGAATGACGATTGCATTTTAATGATCTTTGTATGTTGGCTCCTTCATTTCTCGCCTCCACACCATTGCTAGCAAATTTTTAATGAAGTACAAGAACAATCTAATTTCTTAGAAATTTAAACTTTTAACAGATTTTTAAAAGTTGTAATCTTGATGGGTTTCTGTTTCTTAAAAAAAATAGTGTGGTTCAAAAACCTTAAACAAGTTTTGTAAGCTTTGTTGATTTTGCAGATGCAGAATCGACTGGCCATCATGCTATGCAACCTTAAACCAGCTAAGATGCGGGGAGTTGTCTCACAGGCTATGGTGATGTGTGCGAGTTCACCAGAGAAAGTTGAAATCTTAGACCCACCAAGTGATGCTGTTCCTGGCGATAGAGTAACCTTTGAGGGCTACCCTGGTAAGTAGATAATCCATATGATCACAATATATAGTCTTAATAGTTAGCAAAAGTGATTTAGGTTGAACAGATCATTTGTGAACCTGTAGTTGGTGGCATTAAAGGGTATTGATTGGCATGCTATTAAAATCTGAATTTTGACTGTTGATGTAAGTATAGTTACATCCTACATACTGCCTTCAGATTCGCAACATATGCGGTTCAGGTGACAGTCAACAAAATGTAGACTTTCCACAAGTCCATTTGGAATGATTGTTCTACAATCTTGGAACTGCAGAAGTAAATATTTGATACTGGTGTGCTTGTAATTGCCTATTGTGATGCTAGATAAGACTGCCGCATCTGTTACAATCTGGTTAGGGATCAGTGAAGTTTTTGTTTAAAGATGGTAAAATTTGGAATTCCAGGTACTCAATCAAAGAGTAAAGCCACAGAGTTCCATACTTCTCAACAAACAACATAAACTTTACTATACAAAGTTAGAACAGAGTAATGTAGCCTGCGTATATATACGGTTTCTGAGTTAGTAACGAACCTATAAGTTAATAATTAATGTCAGAGACACTGAAAACCTCCAAAGTATTTCTGTAGCCATTGTGATTTATCTTAAAGCAGTTTTTGAGGCCAAACTTTAGAATTAATGAGTTTTTGTACACATTGGTAGGATTTTACAACTAAGATAAACAAACTCTAGAAGATAAGGAGAGTTTTCAAAGCTTAAGAGAAGCACTCGTAGTTTAGAGTTTTTTTTGTTTTACTTTGAGTTTTCAGGAGTCCTGTGAAGCCCTTCAGTGCTTCTGGAAAGAGAAGGATATAGGCAAACTAGATTACGTTAAAGTAAAGAGTAAGTAATAGTGCTAGACCAGAAATGTTGGGATAATATCCTGCAGAAATTTCTTAAATTAAATATGTTTAAACTCAGGTGTATAATAGCTCAAGGAAGAGCTATATGCAGTTCCAATCTTTTGAGTTAAAGTTAGAAGTGCCTTAAACCAATTGAGATGTTACAGGCAGGGACTCTGGTAAGAGTAATGTGTAAGTCATGTTTTTGGGTACTGTACAAGATATGCTTTTGGGTACTGTACTTATGGGTGTGTTTTGGGCACTGTACAAAAGCTGTTATTTTTTTATTTTCAGTTTGTAAAGTAGTGGTTTGGAATTAATGGGATTAATGTTTACAATATATTTTAAAATCTTTGAAATTTTTTTTGGTTTATTCTATTTTATCTTTTACTTAATAAAACTTGGTTTTATTGTTCAAGCAAAATCTGCAGCATTGTGCGCTTTTAGGAAGCGATCACAGAACAAAGCAAAGTATCATATCAAGCCGGTCTTCAAAGTTAAAAATCATATGACACTGGGTTAGAGTCCAACATGTTTGAAATGTTTGAAATCACAAGCTTTTGGAGCACTCAGCTGACGAAGGAGCAGCACTCCAAAAGGTGGTGATTCCACAGAAACCTGTTCAACTATAACCTGGTGTCATGTGACTTCTGACATTGGCTGCCCCAGTCCAACACCAGCACCTCCACATCATGGCAGCCAGTTTTCAGTCTGGGATCTGATTTGTCCAGTAATTGCAGCAGCTCTATTATAACAAAAGTAAACAATCAACAATCTGTTTATAGCTTTACTCTAACATACAGAATTAACAAGATAAACATGACTTAACAGGCAAACTGTTTGAACACACCACAAATTACGCATTAAATGGCAGGTACAAATGAGAGAGATCCCACAATTGTTTCAGCAATGCAATCCCAATGAGAGTCATAACAAATCATTTCAAATCTTTATCTCCCTCATGAAGAATTCCAGCCTCTCTCCTTCAGAGCTAATTTGATTCCCAACCAACAGAATGTCTGCTCCACTTGAGTTCCACAGGCATGATCCTCATCCAAAAGGCATGTGATTCCAGACATCTCTCAGATCTATTCCTAGAGCAAGCCACTGTGGTAAACATTGCCAACTGTTCTGACCTACTTTTGAGGCAGAGTCACATTGTTTTGAATGGATATACACCAGCATCTAAACACATGCAGTCCCCAGCTTCTCAGCTATGCTCTGGCCAGCGACTGCTCAACTCCCAGCTACTTAACCTCTCCTGTGACTGCATCCAACCAAGCATTCAACTAAGGCTGCAGTCCCAGTGTATGACCCAATTCCAACTCTCTAGTTGCTCCGAGCAAAACGCCACTGCCTTTGGACAGTCCTTTGTTTGTATGGAGCCAGCTAACAGCAGCACTTCAGACTCATGGAATCACCTTCTCTTGCACTAACACGGAGCTGCAATCTCTCGTACTGACTAACCTGACTGTTGAACCGCTGGTCAGTGACACTTGAACTGTCTGGGGTGATCGATTTTAATTATTCTAAGAGAGTCCTGCCTTTATTACGAGGCAGAATCCTGCAGCGAGGAACTTGTCTCGTAACTCCTCAGAACCACCTGCAAGACATCAGTCAGGAGCATGTTGGAATACTTCTCACTTGCCTGGATAATGTAGTTCTGACAACACTCAAAATTTTTGACACAGTCCAGGACAAGGGCAGTAGACAAAATCAGAAGACACACAGCACCAGGCTTTAGCCCAACAGGTTTATTTGAAATCACAAGCTCTTAGAGTGCTGCTCCTTTTGTCAGGTGGCCTGCTGAAGGAGCAGAGCTCTGAAAGCTTCTGATTTCAAATAAACATGTTGGACTATAACCTGATTGATAATATGTGGAGTTGGAGGAGCACAGCAGGTCAGACAGCATCTGAGGCGCAGAAAAGTTGATGTTTCAGGTCTAGACCCTTCATTAGGACTAGGGAGAGGGAAGGGAGCTCAGAAATAAATAGGGGGGAGGTGGCTGGGGGTATGGTAGGTGGGATGGTGATAGGTGGATTGTAGAGGTTAGTTGGTGAGAAGAAAGATGGACAGGTTGTGTCAGGTAAAGTAGGCGGGGAAAAGAGGGAGGGCTGGACATGGGATGAGGCTGGAGGAGGGGGGGGGGTTGGATTTTGAAGCTGATGAATTCTATTTTGAGGCCATTGGGCTGTAAGCTCCTGAGGTGGAATATAAGTTGTTGTTCCTCCAATTTGCATATGACCTCATTGTGACAGTGGAGGAGGCCCAAGATGGACATGTTGCCAAGGGAGTGGCAGGGGGGAGTTGAAATGGCTGGCAACCAGAAGGTGGTGTTGATCGGAGCATACAGAGCGCAGATGCTCCGTGTATCGATCACGGAGTCTGCGCTTGGTCTCTCCGATATAGAGAGGACCACACCTGGAGCAATGGATGCAATAGGTCTCCTAACTCTCACTACCTTGGCAACATGTCCATCCTGGGGCTCCTCCACTGAAATGTTGACTTTCCTGCTGCTCAAATGCTGTCTGACCTGCTGTGCTCCTCCAGCTCCACATCTTATCGACTCTGACTTCCAACATCTGCATATCTGTCTATCTCCTAAGACCAAACCTGGTGACTTTGACTTTGTCCACTCCAGTTCAACACCGGCACCTCCACATCAAGAACAGAAGATACATGGAAATGCCATCACCTGCATGTTTCTCTCCAAGCCTCTCCCCATCCTGACTTGGAAATGTATTGCTGGGCTTTCAGTGTCACAGGATTAAAATCCTGTAACTCCCCCACTAACAGCAGTCTTGCTGTATCTGTGGCAGCTCATCACCATCTTCTCTAAGACAATTAGTGATGAGCAATAAATGCTGGCCTGGCCGTTGACTTAAATGTCCCATGCATGAATAAAAAACATCAATTGTAATCAGTTAGTAGTTTGTTTCTGCTATAATTTCTACAGCAGCACAAATTGTGCAAAAAAACGCAATTAATCATGTTATGGATTAGAAATATTTTCAAAGGCATCTGGTTTCGCATTTTCTGATGACGTAAAACAGTCTAGATACAAAAATGCAGAGCAAACTACACTGATATGTCCCAATTGCATTAAGTTATGGAACATTGTTACAATTTGAGTTCGTTGTCAACTGAAACTCTAAATTGAATCCTTGTGGAATTCCATTACCAACTACTTTCCACTTTTGGTATTTCCCCACAAAATACATCTCCACTATCTGCTGTTGAGCATGTGAAAGAATGTAATATAATAATTTCTATCCTTCACACATGCACATCTTATGAATTGACCGACCATGCTTAGTAAATAGATATTCATCTAACCACAGGCAGGATGTATACTGGGAGTTGCAGCCTCATAATGTGAATCTCTCAAGCTAATCTTATGTATGGAAGATTGCATGAAATGAAGCTTAAAGAATCTTTCTTATGCCTCTGGAAAATATTAAGTTTGACACCTTATTGATCATTTTTTATAACATGAAAAAATAACAGGGTGGAACTGCTGAGGCATGAGGTCCTATTATGGAGGAAGGACATGTGCCTGAAATTGCAAGTAGAATTTAATCTCATCACTTCATGTGGAGAGGCTCACGATATTAAACATCTATTAAGCAGTTAAATGGCTAGTTAGTTTCCTTTTCCAGGATCTAGTACTCTGGGGTGGGGTGTTGTAGGCAGTGGTAGTGTCGCTACCAATAAGCCAGAATACCTGGTTCCAAGTCCTACCTGCTCCAGAGGTATGTCATAACATGTCTGAACAGCTTGATATTTTTTTAAAAAAAGTCTACGACTCTGAGAGCTGAAATCCTCATCTCTGAGAGGAAAGCAGCTCATCATCGATGTCAGAGATACTGGGGTCACTCTGGTAGCTGTTGTAATGCATTGAAACACTTAACTTTGGCACACTCAAATTTGGAAATTTGAATTGGATTTGTTGTACGTAGCCCCCAGTACTGCCACTGGATCCCTGTTCAAGCAGCAATCAAGTCAATTATCACTTGGGAATCTCTGTGGTTCCAGAGTTGGTTCAATAAAGTTAATTTCATAACCTGTATATTGGGATGCAAAGGCAGAACCTACTTACAGTGATGCATGAGTACTGTAGTATTGGAATCTTTTGCCGGATATAGCTACGGTATTTGAATGGAATTGCCTAACATAGGATCTCTCAAGAAAGGCTTTTGGGGAAATATATTTCACCAATGTCAGTATTTGTATCTGCTTTGGTAAAGGATAATACCAATCAATCTAAGCCACTTTTCTGGAGACCTTTTCAGGATTTTCACCCATCAAGTATCTCCCTATAGAGGAAGGGGCAACCTAATGTGAATCAAAAGATTGGAAAATGACCAAATCAAACTAAACTATTTGACAGGTAGAATAAAATGTGTGACATTGTCCAACAGCACATGGACTGCAGCAGTTCAAGAAGGCAGCTCACCACCACCTTCTCAAGAGTAACTAGGGACAGGCAGTAAATGCTGGCCGGCTAGCAATGCCCACGCCATGCCAGAGAATAAACAGTTTCCTATGATTCTCTGTGTTTTAGAAGTTTATCACCTTCATTTTGAATTATTCAGTTCCTATATGAAGTATCAGAATTCTCCTTTTCAGTGACTGTAGTCTGTTCCTCTAAACCATTTTAAATTTTAGCATTTGTGTTATGGACCTTTAATAACTTTACATATGTGGAGCTGTAATAACTTCATTTCCACAGCAATAATTTAAACTTGCATGTGTATCTCTTAATATATTTTGTGTTCCTCCTCCTCAGGTGACCCTGACAAGGAGCTAAATCCAAAGAAGAAAATATGGGATCAAATTCAGCCTAACCTCAGCACAAATGAAGAGTGTGTTGCTACATACAAAGGGACGCCATTTGAAGTGAAAGGAAAGGGAGTTTGCAAGGCCCAGACAATGGCTAATAGTGGAATCAAATAACTTGTATGTCTGTGCAGTGGCAATGAAGGTGGAATATTGCAAAAATCACAATAAATACTTGAACACATTAAGTGAAATGATGTATTCACCTTTTTGTCTCTGTGTGTGTAATGGGGTTGGACAGGAAAATATGTATTTGCACAATGTGACTTAATTGGCATACCCCAGTCTAATTATAATGGAAGTATTCAGTAATATAATCGTGAAATCTATTTGGAATTAACTTTCTTCAGTGAGAAATGCATGATGTAATAGATTCAGTACACTTTGTCATCTGTCTTTAAAAGTCTGTATGTGCTCCAGTTCTACAGGAAATCATTTTGCTAATTCAGCTGCAGAAAATTATGTTAAGGATCCGTTGGCCATCATTCTGTCACATTACGTGTGAAAGAGCAACTTCCATGTATAATGAGAACTCAACTGCATTGTTGCTGCCAGTACTTTGAAAAATTGGTTTCCCACGTTGTTATTGCAGAATTTAATCAAGATTATTAATATCATGTGGCTGTGTGCAAAGTAAATGTAAACTAAGCTTGCAAAATATTTTAGAATCCAAATGCAGCCAAAATGCTTCAGTATTGCCTTTGTTCCCTTTGCTGTTTTGAGTATCATTTTAAAAAAAATTCTAAATAATTTATGATGTCTGATCATCTAGACCAGTCAACACTAAATTAAGAAAATTAATTAATTACAAATTAAACTAACATTTGGTATTGCCGGCACAGTTTCTAAATCATACAATACCCCTTCCTTTCTTTTTCCCCCTCTTCCAACCTCCCATCCACAGCCGCCACCACCAAATACAAAACATACATTCTGTTCCAACTCATGAGCAGTATTGACCTACTATACACAACTCCTTGGAGCTTGAAAGGAGACATTCTTCATAATTGTAGGTGCCACTAAAATCGCCAGGATAATTGAATTTGCTAACAAGTGAGCAGAATCAAAGCTTTTCCTCTTGCACTTATCAGAACTTGGACATGAAACATAGTCAAAAAGTGAGCATTAATTTATGCTGCATGAGAAGAGTTTCCTAATTTGTTGGGCCAGTGTCATGTTATAATGTGGGAAAGATTGTGTTAAATTTTAGCTGAAAAAACTCAGACTAGGCTGGTACATTCTTTTTTTAAAAACGGGTACTTAACTGTGAAAGTCTGGATAATTAAGATAGAATATGGACCGATTGTTAAATACTCGTAGATAAATTTAACAAATGATATATTGGATATGCAAATCTTTAAATAGAATTGCACTTTCATTTTAAGAAAAATGAACAGAGCTTGTAGGGGCCTAGGTTTTTATAAATATGCAATTGTAAAAGGGTAAAGCTGACCGATGTTAAGTGTTTTAGTCTTTCGTGTGTGGACATATTAAGTTTTGTTTTTAATCCTTGGCTCAGTTGGTAGCTCTTAATGAATCTGAAGGTTGCAAGTTTTAATCCTTCATTGGATTTTTAACAAACTACATTTTAAACACTTCGTTGAAGCATAAACTGGATTGATAATGTTTTAAGCAGAGTATATGTGCATTTTAAAAAAATTGAGATGTCGAGCTGCAGGTGATGCTGTATTGAGATGAATAAAGCACTATATTTGAAGAAACAAAAACAGAAATTGCTGGAAAACCTTAGCAGGTCTGGCAGCATCTGTGGAGCAAGATCAGAGTTAACGTTTCAGGTCTTTCCTCAGAATTCTGAGGAAAGGTCATTCGACGCAAAATGTTATCTCTGAATTCTCTCCACGGATGCTGCCAGACCTGCAGAGCTTTTCCAGCAATTTCTGTTTTTGTTTCTGATTTACAGCATCTGCAGTTCTTTTGGTTTTTATTTACTATATTTGAAGACATTGCTTAAGCTTTAGGCTAAAGCAATATCAGCTGAGCTTCTTGAAATTTGCAAATCTACTCATTTTGGAGTTACCTTCCTGCTACTGGTGATATCTATAGGCATGGATACTCCTGTGGATCCGCATGACTATCTCTCTGGGTATGGGCCCTCATTTTTCAACAACAGATTGTGGCTACCTGCAAGGACTTATAGCTTTATTGTGTAGTATCACTGACTATTGATACAGGAGACTGTTAGAAAGTATATCTCTGAGATAGTGTCTTCTAGTAATGGCATTGCCATAGAGATGTACAGCATGGAAACATCCTCTGGTCCAATTCAGCCATGGTGACCAGCTATCCTAAATTAGTCTAGTACCATTTACCAGCATTTGGGCCATATCCCTATAACCCCTTCCTATTCATATACTCAACCAGGTACCTTTTTAAATGTTGTGATTGTACCCGCCTCTACCACTTCCTTTGCCAGCTCATTCCATATATACACCACCCTGTGTGTGGAATAAGTTGTCCCTTGGGTCCCTTTTAAATCTTTTCCCTTTCACCTTAAACCTAACATGGGGAAAAGGCCTTGAATATTTACCCTATCCATGCCCGTCATGATTTTATAAACTTCTATAAGGTCACCCCTCAGCCTCTGACATGCTGGGAAAATAGCCCTAGCCTATTCAGCCTTTCCCCTAACTCAAACCCTCCAGCCCTGGCAACATCCTTGTAAATCTTTTCTGAGCCCTTTCAAGTTTAACAACATCTTTACTGCAGCAGGGAGATCAGAATCCCAAAAATGGCCTAACCAAAGTCCTGTACAGCTCCAACATGACCACCCCACTCTTTTACCCAATGCACTGACCAATAAAGGCAAGAATACCAAATGCCTTCACTATCCTATCTACCTGCAACTCCCCTTTCAAGAAACTATGAACCTGCACTCCAAGGTCTCTGTTCAGCAACACTTCCCACCCAGGTAGTTACCATTAAGTGCATAAATCCTACCCTGATTTGTCCCACCAAGTTGTAGGACCTTGCATTTATCTAGATTAAACTCCATCTACTATTCCTTGGTCCATCTGATTGAGGTCACATTGTACTCCGAGGAAACCTCCTTTGCTGTTCACTACACCACCAATTTTGGTGTGATCTGCAAAATTACTAACCACACCTCCTATGTTCACATTCAAATCATTTACATAAATAATAAAAAGCATTGGATCCAGCACCGATCCTTGTGGCATACCGCTGGTCACTGGACTCCAGTCTGGAAAACAACCGTCCACCACTACCTTCCCCTTAGTTTTGAGCCAATTTTGTATCCCAATGGCTAGTTCTGCATGTATTCCCTGTGATGTAAAATCATCTGGCCTGGACAAACCAGCGGTGTCAACATGAGGGAAAGAGTAAAGAAGGACAAATCTTTATACCATGGGGTACTCTATTTTCTATATAGGAATTATTATCTCTCTCTAGTTGGTATTGTTTGTATATTCCTGGCTTGATCTTGGCATTTCTGGCTGTTTTTGCTTGCTCAACAATATTTTTCTAAGCGTTGTTGGCAACACCAACATGTGTTGCCAGTCCCTAATTGCCCTTGAGCTGAGTGGCTTGTTAGCTCATTTCAGAGGGCAGTTGGGAGGGAAGCACCCTGCCATGGGTCTGAAGTCACAAGCCAGACCAGATAAGGAGGAGAGTTTTCCTTCCTTAAAGGACATTCATATAACAGCCATTTACAACAATTGATGATAGTTGTCATGGCCCCTGCCACTGATGCAAGCTTTATATTCCAGATGTATGAATTGAGTTTAAATTTCACCAACTACTTTGGGTAAGTTTTAAGCTCACACCTCAGAACATTAGCCTCAGCCTTTAGATTACTAGTCCAGTGACATAACCACAATGCTACCATTGCAATACTCGGAATCAGCAGTTGCTCCAAAATGAAGGTTATAAGTTGTGCACTGTTGTAAATCTAAGGTAATGTTACGTTTGACCTGACTTTTTTTTTTAAAAAAAGCCACCTTGCAGTCTCCATGCCAACTCTACAACCCTGCTCTATCAGAGAAAGCTGCTGATTACCCTTTGAACTCTCTGCTGTGAGAGAGGAACCTCCCTTGTTGTGTAGCCATTCTTTCGTAGCTGCTTCTCTCAGCATCTCTGGAAAATGCTGAGGGAGCTGTTTGCCTCTGCTATTAAAATTCTCAACCTGGTTATTCATTTCCTGCAATGCGAAGACCCAGGAGCAAAGAATGATTAGCACTAAAGAGACAAATGACCAATAATAGTGCTACTCTTTCTGTGGGAAAATGCCAAATGGGTGAGTTGAGGGTCATCCATCTGTTCCACGCATGTCTTAATCAAACTCCAGTTGTTTGTGTGCACAAGCCTGCCAATGAAGTACTTATAATTTTACTCAATACTGCTGCCTAAATTTAAATCGGGTAATTAGTGATAGTAATAGCACAAACAGGAATCTTTCTCCCATTAGATGGGGACTGATAGAGCCAATTGGTTATGGATAACTTCAAGCAAATGTGGGGCAGGGCAAAGAGGTCTCCAAGTTGTAGCATAGTTCATGCAGGGATTGAGCACTCACCATTAGCATTGTAAACTCACAATGTAGCTACTCAACCCTCCTAGGTTTAAACATAGCATGTGAAAACTTTCTTCAATCAATCCTGGAAGCTAGTATCAAAACTCATGTTTTATTTTTATATGATTCCAGAGTGTGTTGGCTGCATATAAGTTTTTTTTATTCTGCTGCACCACCACCTTAGTCATATTCTTTGGATACAGCTATTTATGATACATGTTTGGGCTTTTGTCTTGTACTTTAGGATCTCAAAGTTGTATCCTTTGGTATTTTTTTCAAATGTTTAACCCAATTTTGAAGCTAGATTACATGTCATTTTATAGACATTGCCATAATCAAAAACTTGGTGTACAGAAATGTTCGGTAACTTCCCATTGGGATATCTGGCACTTTTTAGGACAAGACTGTCTTGCCTTTGAGTAGGAAGATCATGGACTGACTCTCAAGACTTGAGCATATAGCCTTGGCTGCAGTAATTGGGTTGCACTGTCAGAGCACCTGACTTTCCTGTGAGATGTTACAGCAAATGCCCATCTGCTGTCTAAAGTGGGCAATTTCCAAAGGACATGCTCCTTGTGAGAATCCGAGATGTTTTCATTGTCACCATTTCTGACTGCTTTCTATTCCAGATTTATTAAT